GTACAGCTTTTTGTACATGTATAACTACAAATTGGATCTGAAAATGTTGGTTTTAATATCCAAAAAAATCTCAATATGTATGTATTTATTCTGAAATGGCTTAAAAGGTTTTATTTTAGTATTTATTTTTATATATGTTTATTTATAGTTTTGTTGTTCAATCAGAGGAACCGCCATTTCAACAAAATATCCATTTTTCTTGTGAACCAGTTCATTTAAAGGGGTGGTTCACTGGTTTTTTTCTAGGCTTGATTGTGTTTATGGGGTGCAGTCTAACATGTGTTAATGCTTCGTTTTTTTTAAAACGCATTATTTTTCACATAATTTACCTTTATTCCACACCGCTCTGTCCCTTCTCTGAAAAACGCACTGATCATTTCCTTCTTTTATGAGTCCCCTCCCTTGGAAATAGGCGATGGGCTCTGATTGGTTAGCTCTTTTAATATACGGATTTATCCTGATTAAAGCTTTAATACAGTACGCCAACTGCAATCCATGTTTAACGCTTCTCATAGCTATGTGAAAATAAGTATAATTATAACAGTTCATTGTTGGAGCTGAACTGAATGAGAGAGAGAGAGAGAGAGAGAGAGAGATGCAGAGCATGTGCAGAGCAGGGGGACGCGAGGAACAGTATTAAGAACCGCTGCTTTAGAACATTGATTTTGAAACTTGTGAATCCATTAGAATCGTTAGAAGACAGAATCGCGATTCATATATGAATAGATTTTTATGTGCACCTCTAGTTTTCTCTTCCTCTTCTCTAAAGCAGCGCAGCATGGCCTCGCCCCCTTTGCTGCCATTTCCCGAGGGCGGGGTTTATCTGGGTTTGTGACGTCACACACCCGGGAAGTAACTTCTTGTAGTCCCTACCAGCCGTTTTTGTAGGCATTAAACTGCCAGAATTTTTAAAGACGATATCTACGTTTGCATTGAACTTTCAGCTTCGTAACATTGCTGATATTGTTTATGCTCAAACAGCAACATTACACACTAACTAATGTTAAAAAAGTGAAATCGCAATCAACCACCCCTTTAAGTGGACAGTTTAAAATAACTGATTTCTGCATATGAATCAAACTTCTCAGCAATTTAAATAAGACATTATTATAATTTCCATCATCTAGCTGTAAAGAGTATAAAACTGCCCTTGAAGAGCTTACAAAGACAACAGCAAAGACGGGAGGTGATGACATATCTCAGGCCATTAGGTACATCAAACACTCATTTCCCTCATTGGCTTTATTGTCTCTGTGTATATTTGTAAACCAGCGAGCTGATTTTCTCTTTTCTGCCATCTATAGTTTTGGAGAGAGCAGAGCAAAGAACAGCCCAGCCAAACCTAGTGACATCAGCACATCACAGCTGAGCCGCAGCAGCGTTGATGCTGACCCTCTCAGTAAACCTAACCACACTTTACCAAATACTAGCCACTTACAAATACCATTTAGAATTTGTTCTGATATGGAATTTCTTATGAAACTAAATGTTTATGGGATATCTTTTGCAGAGGAGCCTGAAAGTGGAGACAAACAGAAGAAGCAGACAGGAAACCCACACATCGAGCTTCGTAAGTATCAGCCTCAAATAGCAGATTGAAACATTTAGGTAAATATTATTGACCCTCTGACATTAAGTAATTGTGGTTTAAAAACTAACCACTATGTCAGTTTTTTATCTTTTCGAAGTTTTCAAATATATTTTAGAAATAAATTATCTAATTAATAATAATAATAATAGGTATACATATAAATAAGGACATCTGAAAATCATACTTACAATGCAGAGTTCTCAGACGCAAATGCCAAGTTCTACTGCCGAATCTACTACGCGGAAGAGTTCCATAAAATGCGGGAAGCGATTATGGAGAGCTCGGAGGATGATTTTGTGCGATCGCTCTCCCATTGTGTCAACTGGCAAGCTCGTGGCGGGAAGTCCGGTGCTGTTTTCTATGCCACTGAAGGTACGACCGTGCAAGATCCTTTACGAAAGTTTTTTTTTTTATTGAGGTAGTTGCTTTTATTAAGTGAAGACTTCTAGGTTGTTGGATGTATTTTGCTAAACATGCTGTTTCTCCTCAGATGATCGGTTTATTCTAAAACAGATGCCGAGATTAGAGGTCCAGTCCTTCTTAGACTTTGCACCCCACTACTTTACTCACATCACAGGCGCAGTTCAGCAAAAAGTAAGGAAATGCATACCTTGTAGGGCTGTCTGAGGCAGCATTTTTGGCCCGTTTCAGGTTTTTCTCTCTAAACTGTCTTTGTATCTGTTTAACAGCGCCCCACAGCACTTGCTAAGATTCTGGGAGTGTACCGTATCGGCTACAAGAACTCCCAGAACAACACCGAAAAGAAACTGGACCTGTTGGTGATGGAAAACCTCTTCTTTGGGCGAAAGATGGCACAGGTACATTTATTGAGACTTTAAATTAGCAACTTAAAACGTATCTGAAGTTGGTGTTTCAGAAATACTGTTGAGTTTGGGAATTTTGATTTTCACATTCTGTTACGTGGTCTTGTTTCCTGTGTTTGTGCAGGTGTTTGACCTAAAGGGGTCCCTGAGAAACAGGAATGTGAAGACAGATCATGGAAAAGAGAGCTGTGAGGTGGTGCTCCTGGATGAGAACCTCCTGAAACTGGTGCATGACAATCCCCTTTATATTCGCTCACATTGCAAGGCCATTCTGCGTGCCGCCATCCTCAGTGACGCCCACTTCCTGTCCAGCCACCTCATCATTGATTATTCCCTGCTGGTGGGCCGTGACGATGCCACGGATGAACTAGTTGTGGGCATCATAGGTGAGAAAATCGTATCTGTTATTTTAAAATCCACATTGGACTTTTCTTTTAGTGATTGTTAAAACTCTTGTGTATTTGAAGATTATATCCGGACTTTCACATGGGATAAAAAGCTGGAGATGGTGGTCAAATCTACTGGGATTCTTGGAGGTCAAGGTACAGTTATACCTGTCTAAAACATTCACAGCCATGATATTCTCAGAAGCTGAAACTCTTCCCTCTTGTTTAAACCCATGTCTCATCTTCTTTCCTTTCTGACAGGTAAAATGCCCACGGTGGTGTCACCAGAGCTGTATCGATCACGTTTCTGTGAGGCCATGGACAAATATTTCCTTATGGTCCCTGATCACTGGACAGGTCTTGGTCTCAACTGCTGATGGACAACAAGGGAACATTACAGCTTGAAAGGGATATGCTGCTCTCTCATGTACTTTGCAGTGATTTAATGGAAGACCCACTGAAGTGCACCTTCCATTATCTGCAGTGCTGTCTGAAGCTGGGTGAAACTGAACCCCTCTCTTTCTATGCTTTGTGCACAAACTGACCAAGACCCAGTGCCAGAAGATCCACAGAGCAGACCGAACTGAAATGGCTGAACTTTTAGAACCCTGTTATGCAGTAGTGTTTGTTTATAACCTGTTAACTGTGGATGATGTAAAAGTTTATAAATGTACAGAGATATGTAATTAAAGATTATTAATACTGGTAAAAGTCTCAGTTTTATGATATTTAAATTTAGGACATCTGCCTAGTTGCAAAAAAAAACTAATACTAAGACATATCGTTAAGGACTGTTCTTTAGGGGCTTTTGCGAAAACTACATACTTCTGCATTTTCCACTCATGGATAGTCATTGGGAGTTGAAATCAGATTTTAGCTGAGCACCCAAAAGAAGTTTTTGACTGAATAACTACAACTCACACTCATGGTAACGTTCCCTATAATATAATAAAACATATACACTTGAAAAAGAGATTCATATATACCTAATAAACAACAAATCATGACAGAGACCGTTAGGAAGCGTTAATCGATTCGCAACTGGCTAACAACAACAACAGCTTACAACAAAACAAACACTTTTTAGGACTTTTCACAAATAGTTAACCATGATTTTCCCAACTTTTAGATGAATTAATATGGTCATTAATTTGAATTAAGACTGGCATAATAATAATAATGAATGGATGTTTTGGTCAGCGCGTTGGTCTGTAAATCATATAACGTTACCACAGCTTTATAATGAAACAGTTCTTCTAAAAGAGCATTCAAATATAGTTGGTATATCAATTTGAAATTGTGGGACACAGACGTAGACTGAGCAGGTAAAAATCAGGGAGGAAGCGAGTAAAAGTAAAATGTAACCCCTAACCCTAAATGTGTAAATTTTTTCTAAAGAAAATTGGTATATTTAGGACCCTTCGTCAAACTCACCTAGACCAACTTCACGTGTTTAGGCCAAAATATGAGCCAAAGGGTCCTCTTCCTGAAGACACCTTTGTATTCACTCCTCCTCTTCTAAGATGAAATTTCATGTTTTATGTATATATACATATTTGCAAATAGTCCTCGCTTTTCAACTGGGACAACGTTTTCGCCATATTAGCATATCGACCTATGATTGGTCGTAATTTGCTGCATTGCTATACTTTAAATATTTATATATTTGCCCTTTAAACTCCAAAAACCTATGTCAAATTTCGTTCTCGTTCGTTTGAATTAAAGTCACCCGTCTTTTATGGACCCAGAAATACAGGTGATTTTAATTCAATTTATTAAAAGTAAAAATGCATAATTACTAAAAAAAAAAAGAATAATTTAATAACAAAAAAAAAAGAAAATGCAAAATGATTTTCACACAGTACTTGGCCTATTATTATTTACTTCTTGTGAGTTCTGAAACAAGGAAACAAGATATTTTCTGAAAACCCCTTTTTTATCATCTGAATTTATAGTAGCAGTTTACATTTTCTTTCTTTCTTTTTTGTTGTACACATACAGTATCAATACGTGAGAGTTCATTCACTAAATGAAATCAACTTTCTAAAATGACATAATGATTCAAATTACATTTAACATACAACTTTTGATAAAGTCAGGTGGAAAACAGGCCTGCACTTTTCATTTTTGTAATAGCCTAAATGGATTTTCAAATTGATAAGAAAACAGACTACACAAAACTCTGTTAAAACATTTTATATAATAGTCATACAATTTTTATAAAAGAAACTTGAGCTGACAAAGAACCTTCAACATTGGAATAAAGGAGGAAACCATAATCTAGATTGTCACACATTTCAAAGCTTTTTTTTTCTGTTATAATACTGTTAGACTCATTCTTCTGCGTCCTTTCACTCACAATCCATCTAATTTATGAAAAGAAAATCAACCATGTGCTTCCGTTATAAGACAGCTGTGCGCAATTTTTGCTCTGGTGATGATAATGTCCATGAGCTGATATGTACAAAGACTGTTTTCTATTGTAAATCACACACTCATAGGCACAAACATCAGGACTTGGTGAAAAACATTGGCTTGCGATTGGCAGGTGTGACCCAGACTTATCTTCACATCTTCAGACTTTCATTACACTCTAATACATACAGACAGACATTTACTGATGTAATCTAACAAACTCTGAAAATGCAGAACAAGGCACTGGACACAGTGGAGAAACTGGCACATTGTGGACAAAGGCAAACAGACAAATGGTGGTTTACATTTTCATTTTGAATTTGTTTTGGTAAGTTTCTGACCAGCAAGATATTAAAACACCATCTTCACTGAAAGCTCTTTATCTTTTCAAGCAAAATAGAATCAAAATTGAAAGCAAAGAAACACTTGCTAACATCCCCCAAAAGCATGTTTAGAAATCGGTTTAAATAAAGGATTGATATTCAACCAGTGCAAAGTATTAAAAGAATTTCAGAAGGAAAGAAAAAAGAAGACAGGGAACGTTAATTATAGTCCTAGATTAATTTTTAAATGAATATTTAACCCCAAACTCACAATTCTGTCATTATTTACTTGCTCTCATATTACTTCAAACCGCTGCTGTTTTTCTGTTCATGGGACACAAAAGGAGAAGTCTTTTGAAGCAACATAATAGTTTTGTGTGAGGAACAGACTAAAATTTAAGTCATTATTCACTGATAAACTTTCCTTCAGTGAGCTGTTGGCTGCTGGGTCCAGAACATGAGTTCAGAGTCACTTGATCAGTCCAATTAGTGAACAAATAATTCTTTTAAACTGGTTCTTTTTGATAAATTGGTTGATTTGTTCGCAATTCTGTTCATTTCACTAACACAATGATCCAGAACCAACAGCTCACTGAAGGGAAATATTATCAGTGGATTACAGCTTTAAATTTGGCCTCTTTCTCATATAAAGCTTTCGTAGGATTTCAGAAAACTTGGAATACAGTATGTAGCTCTTTTGGAGGTATTTATTTGTCACTTTTAGAGCTTGACAGACATAGTATTGGTGTATGGAAAGAGCCACATTAAGATTCTTCTTGTGTTCCACAAAAACAATGACATGAGTAAACAATGGCAGAATTATAATCCTTTAAACACCCATTTACTCCTATACATAAGTGCATACCGCTGTAGTACCATTGTTATCTAAATGTTAATAAATATCGGTACAGGCTTGAGAACATCATGGTTCACATAACATGCTATGCCCCCTCACTAGAATCTAAAATTCAACCTGAATAGAAGTATTATTTGAACACTGTCTCTATGTCGGAGAAGGAACCGAGTGGCAAAATTGTCACTCTTCAAAAGCGTCAGGAGTAAATGTTTAGACCATCAAGGCCTAGAAATGTTATCTCAGTGGATTAAAAATGCTCTTTTTGCAATATAAATCTAAAGAGTCGTCTTTTCACAACATGTCAAACATAATGTATAAAGTACAACTGGTGTACGATTCAGAAATGGAGAATTTGCATTGGATTTTTCATCACATTACACTGGATTTCATGACTTTAGACTTTCAGTCTAACTAGTCTTAAGACTGAAATACACTACACAACTTTTCAAATCTGAAAAGATTTTTAAATGACTGATAATCACACACCATTAGACTTTCAAGTCATTTCGATCTGTCAACTCAAATCTGTAATACGGCTCTGACTGCAATTGCATCAACTCGTCAAGACTGTGAATCAGGGCAATATCTGGGAAAAAGTTGTGTGGTGTATTCCAGCCTTTAATTACATATAAATATTAAGTAAGGTTGGTAACAGTGACGCCAATTCCCCTGTTGTTCCAAAAATGTGATTTCTTGTTTCCTGATTGGTCCCAACATGGGTGAAATGAGGGTGACCTCCCTTTGTGCTTCCACAGGCTTTGTGCTTTCAAAAGTCCACAGATTAAGACACACCACTTCGCACTTTACATCATCATCCTTCAAGTGTGACAAGTCAGCCAACATTTGGCAATCCATCATCAATCAACCTGTGTTAAACTGATTAAAATGGCTTTCGAAAAAATCTCCTGTGCAAACAAGTGTGGCAGAACAAAAGCGTACCATATGTGCTATATGTCATAATCTCTTGTTATAGAGGCTGTGCTCCATAATCAAAAATCTGTACAACTTCTGTAAGGTTCATGACAATATGTGCTTTGAAAACAATGACCGGCGCATCTAGAAGGAGCCGGGGTCAAAATGTCTCTGAGTCCGAGTCGTTTTCGGTGGTCGTGCCCTCACTGGAGGGGCCGGAGGGGTCCCTTGGACTGCGGGGGCCTTGGGTGCTCTTGACCTGGCGGGGCAGAGATTTCAGCAGGGCGCCTGGCGAAGGAGCTCCAGAGCTGCAAGGGGAGCAGAAAGGCATCATGGTAGCCAGAATAAGAGCCAGGCAGTCAGCCACTTCCCTGCTGGGAGCGCAAGCCAGAGCAGGGGTGAGACCTGCGGGGAAAGACAGCCAAAGAGCGAGAGACAGGAAAGGGGACAGGAAAGCAGAAAGAGGTAAAAGGAGGGATGGAGCAGTGGAACAAAGGGACAATGGTGGAGAGGCGATGGACGAAAGCGGCATTCAATTAGTGCCCCGCTAGATAGGCAGCCAAACACATGGTCAGGGGCAAAAGGGGACACGCATGACATCGTCAAAGCTATGAAACACGGCCACTGCTTTTGGCAGATAGATAGAGAGATGCACATACACTGACAATCTATGCGTAAACCAAATAAGCGGATATTTTAGTTTCAGCAAGACACACCATTCTCATCTAGTACTTGAACACTGGCCCCACGAGAGAGCAGCTCTTGCACTGTCTGCTTCATCCCGCTGCGAGCAGCCAAATGCAGAGGTCTGAGGAAGTGAACGAGAAACAAGTGAGCATAAATTGCTTCTTAAATAATGTATAAGAGCATGGCGCTAGCAAAGTCAAGGTCTTGGGTTCGAATCCCAGGGAATGCATGAACTGATAAAAAGTATTCCTTAAATGTAATGCAATGCAATGCATGTTGCTTTGGATAAAAGCATCTGCCAAATGCCTAAATGTAAATATATTATGTACTATACTGTAATGTGGAGGGGAACTCACGTTTGCAGTGCAGCGTTTGTAGCGACGAGGGCAGAGTCTGGAAGTTTTCCAAGAATGAGCAATGCACATTCCTCCATTCCCTGGATAGAGAGCAAGCAGAAAGAACAGGAAAATCATCTTTAGGAGACCTCAAGTAATACATTTTCAAAAATACTGTTTGCAATGTGGGTTTTTATATCTGGCACAATTTTATTGCTTGATAATTATATGAAGTATTAATACCCCATGACTACAGTCACACACAGGTGTCTGCATTACTTAACAAGTGGAAATGTTAACATTTTTCTGTTTTTGAAAAGGCCAAACTATTATAATAAAAAAAAACAATGAATTATGATTTTTGAGTGAGTAGATATAATGAAAACCTTTGATTTAGTGAACTATGTGTCACTGATGTGAATATATAATTTCTGGGGGATCAGGAAAGGTCCACAAGCCGGGACTCAAACTCGGGATGCCTAAAGCGCAACAGCGCCATATGTCGGCGCACTACCCACAAGGCTATTGCCGCCAGTTAGTGGCATTTTGACAAAATGACATATTTTGCTTATAACAAATTATAAAAATTATTATGAAAGATCACTGCTGAAACTGAAATTATAGAGACTAATGGCCATGGCATGCAATGGGCTATACTTACGTTATTGCAGGCTAGATGGAGAGCTGTATTGCCCTTCTGGTCAGTCAGATTTAGGTTCACATTGGCACTAGTAAGTAGAGCTTCTGTTTAAAACACACACCACATTTTGCATAAGTGCATTCAGTTGAGCCCATTTTCATACTTATACAAATGAACAGGGGAATAATTCAAATAAAAAAATGGGGAATACAAACCTAAAACTTCGACTCTTCCTTTCTCCGCTGCCATAATCAGGGCACTGCACCCTGATTGGTCAACCTCATCCACAGATGCACTATGGGCCAGGAGCAGCTGAACACAGTCTATGTGGCCAGCAAATGCAGCTGCGTGGAGAGGTGTCCTGATAAAGAGGAACAGCAGTTTTTAAATAAATTGTTTCACTGATAGCTCTGAAAACAATGCTAATGATGAACATAAACAACTCATTAGAAACATTTCAATTGTCAGGACTATCTTAACTTTTCCTAGCCAAATTAGTAATGACTTTAAACAACTGGGGTCAAGGTGTATTTTAAAGTTAGTTCCTCTCAAGTTCTCAAATGTGTCTTAGTTTGACAAACAGAAAGTGTCCAAATATTTGTATCTTAATTTTTAACAGTATATATATATATATATATCCAAAGCGACTTACAAATGAGGACAATGGAAGCAATCAAAATCAACAAAAGAGCAATGATATACAAGTGCTATAACAAGTCTCAGTTAGCTTAATGCCGTACACGTAGCAAGGGTTTTTTAAATATAATAAATAAAAAGAAACAGATAGAATAGGAAAAAGAACAGAGCAAGCTAGTGTTAGAGGTCTTTTTGCTTTTGTTAATTGTACAATAAATGAAAAGAAAACAAATAGAATACAAAAAGATTAGAAAGCAAGTGTTGTTGTTGTTTTTTTGAAAACAAGCAGCAAATGAACAGAGTGCTAGTCTAAAAGGGACAAGTTTTTTTTTTTTTTTAAGAATAGAATTAGAATAAAGAGTGCTAAAGTTAGAGGGTCAAATAAAAATGGAAGAGATGTGTTTTTTTTAGGCGATTCTTGAAAATGGCTAAGGACTCCGCTGCATATATATATATATATACATATATTTAAAAAATATTAAAAACCAGTATTAAAAAAGGTAACTAAACACCTTTTTGAAAAATATATTGTTTAAAAAAATTTATCTGTGTTATTCTTCAAAATTTTTACCTTTTTTGTTATTTAATGCAGTTTAAAATGTGGTTTATTTTTTTCAAAATTCGGAAACAATACGGTACGTAATACGGTAATACGGTTTTCTCTCTTCACATATACCAAACTAACCTGCCCTTGGAGTCTTTGCAAGTTACAATCTTTGATCCCATGGCTTCAAATAAAAGGTTGGCACAGGTCTCATGGTCATTGACCCTGCAGGAAAGAGGAATCAGAGACAGACAAGTTAAAAGAAAAGAAAAAAGTGCAAAAGAAGAGTGAAAACTATCTCACAGCAGACATACACAGCACAATGTAGCGGGGTGAAGGGGTTCCCATCAAAGTGACAAAAATCTCTTTGTTCGAGTAGGACCTCCACACAACCCTCATGACCTATGAGACACACAAGCTACATTTAATTTATTGATAAATAAAAGCATCTTTTTAAACTCATAATGGAGACTGTTAAAACCAACCATAGTAACAGGCCCAGTGTAAGGGTGTGTATCCCTGGTTGTCTTGTAATGGAGGTATCGGGGGTTCAGAACATGCAATATTGAGCAATTCACTCAACCAGGACGCGTGACCCCTCGCTGCAGCCAGGTGGATGGCTGTCCGACCCCTGGAGTCCCCCAGCAGCACAGATGCCTCTAGCTCCACCAGCGACTGAACACATTCCTCCTGTCCACACAAGAGCTAAGAGAGAGAAAGAGAGAGCTTTAAAAAAAAAAGTCCTTGTACATCTTGTACTTGAATATGTTTGACAAGATCAGAAAACTCACCCCCAGGTGCAGAGCAGTCAGACCCTGATGATCAGCCAAGTCCACACTGGCCTCACGCTCCAATAGAAGAGACACAGCATCCACATGACCCCCCATTACTGCCAGCATTAGAGGGGTCCTGCAAACACAAACGCACATAGAACAAATACCCATTAAAGCACTCTCACTCTCAAGAATCTCCTTAATTGTGTTTAGATGGTTAATTTCAATCAGCTGTTACTTAAATGTACCCATGGACTTTGGGGAAGATTAATGATTGATTTTTTTCCTCGTAGCTTGGGCAAAATTTATATTATATAAATTAGGGAGTTGATTTATTTTATTTTTACTATTCATATGACGTGTGTTCACGTTTGATTATGGCATACTAATTGAGATCCTCAACATTTATTTATTGTAGAAAAATAATTATATGCATTTTAAAATTCATTAGTTGCATAGTAATTAAAAAAATAATAATTAAATGTAGTCAGCAGTTTTTTATGGGTAACAGTTTTAGCCAAATTTTTATTTTTTTTTTAGTTTTATTTGACTAAGATAACTTCTATTTGAGAAGTAAAAAAACATGACACACTCATTCCATCCCAAAATCCTTGTGGCATTATGAAGAAAGAAAGAAAGAAAAAAAGTTATTAAATGAACTACTCACTGTCCCTGAGAGTCCGCTGTATCTACCAGATCTGCATTATCAGAGTCTTCCAGCAGGAGGCGCACGCACGATGTATGACCATTCATTACTGGAAACAAACTGAGTGTATTAAATGCGGTGTAAAAAATGCACAGCTGTGTAATTTCCACCACACAGAGGTGTAATACCTGCAAGGTGGATCGGTGTACGTCCTCGGATAGTATCTTTGCTTCTCGGCGAGGCCCCATGGTTCAGAAGCGTGAGAGCGCAGTCAGTGTGGCCCCTGAGGGCAGCAAGCATTAGTGGAGTCCGACCCACCTCATCCCCCTGATCCACCTCGCAGTGACCCTCCAAGAGCACTTCTAGAGCCTGTGCGTGACCGTGGTACGCCTGGAAACAAACATATATAGACCAACTGTCTGAAAACATATCACATATATGTGACCCTGGAGCACAAAACCAGTCTTAAGTCGCTGGGGTATATTTGTAGCAATAGCCAAAAAAACATTGTATGGGTCAAAATTATCGATTTTTCTTTTATGCCAAAAATCATTAGGATATTAAGTAAAGATCATGTTCCATGAAGGTATTTTGTACATTTCCTACCATAAATATATCAAAACTTAATTTTTGATTAGTAATATGCATTGCTAAGGACTTAATTTGGACAACTTTAAATGTGATTTTCTCAATATTTAGATTTTTTTTTATACCCATACAATGAATTGTTGGCTATTGCTACAAATATACCTGTGCTACTTATGACTGGTTTTGTGCTCCAGGGTCACATATTCTATTGATAAGGTGTTATAACTTGTTTTTAGCATGTTGTTATGTGGCTGTTAGGGTGTGGTTGTACAGGTGTAAATTTGGACTCACGGCCAGATGCAATGGGCTTCTGGTTTGGCTGTTCTCCATCTCATCTTGTTGGTTCTCATCTCTGTCCAAAAGCTGAAATCAGATTTCATCTGAATTACAGCTGTTCTCATTAAACTCAATCAAAAGCTATTCTGAATTAAACTGGAACACATTCATTCTTGCACTATAAACATATGCACTGCACCAGCAGGTGGCATACAATAGGTTCCACAGACTGCAGGCATGTTTTTACAACACATGAATGAAACCACAAACTGGACTAAATTCATTTGCATGTTAGGTTACACATTTAAATCTAATATAGTTGTGACAGTAGAGTGCAGATGGAGGAAGTGCCCCTAGGCACTCACTGGACATATTTGTGTCCTCACCAGTTTCAGACAGTGTCTGTGGCCGTACGCTGCAGCATAATGAACAGCACTGTAGCCTTGTTTATCTTTGAGTGATGGGGCAGCACCATTCTGCAACAGGAACTCAAGACACCTGCACACACAAATATAAATATATATTGAAACACACACATACATATATTAAAAATGAAACCATAAGAAGTGCAAAAAAAAGATAATGTCAAGTTATGTATATGCACTACTGTGGAAGTGGAGAGACGGAAAATACACTTAGGTTGTTCCAGACATGAAATGATGAGGTTACAGACACACGCAGACACAAACACCCAATGTTTTGGCATCAGAGCAGCACACATGTAAACAGCACGAGTGACGGTGAGACAAGGAGGGGGGACACAGAATTGAGGCTGAGCAGACGTGGGCCGTTCTGCTCTTCAACTCCAGAGAACTCACAGGGCTGCCTCCTTCTCCCTCTCAGCTTGAACTCCGTCACTCTCTGGTTCCAGGACCACACGCCGCCTGCAGTGAAATCACACACACCTCACAAATCTTACTCAACAATAACTCTTTTAACAATTAGTAAAAAACTAAAGTTGTAAATTTTTTTTGAATATTTCGGAATGAATATTATATTTTGTAATTAACGAGTAAATACTTATATAAATCAATAGTTTATTAATAATATATGTATTATGCAATAACTCTGTGGTATCTTGGTATAAAAAAAAATATTATGGTTACCATCTCATTACTCATTCACAAAATTCTCTATTCTGGTGAATTCTGGCAGCTAAGCTAATTAAACTAAGCACAAAGGTGTTTCCGTATGCCATATCAAGTTGACGTCAACCCCTTGTCTTTGCACATAAACTACCCCAATGACAGGAGACTTAAAAATAGCCTGTGGTTGCCATGGTAACACAGATATATGTGTTAGTGTAGCTGCTAGCAGTCTCTGGAGCTGGGGGCTGGCACTGCACTCGATTTCACCTGCTGAAGGACTGCAGCTGCCTGTGTCTACCTCACTTAATTGGGTTAGACATGCATTTACAACG